CAAAGCTCAACCTGGATGGATGGCATTCGGGCTTACTTAACAGACGGCACCTTGCCGGATACTTACCTAGGGATGATCGTAATGAAAAAACGTGCTGTCCAACTTTGAAATTCATAAAGGGAAACTTTTCAAGAAGGGCTATCTTCAACCTCTTTTGAAATGTGTCACCCCAGAAAAGGGGCGAGAGGTCCTTGAGACTTGCATTTGGGGTTCTATGCCTCCCACATAGGTTGCAGGTCCCTTGCAAAGAGAGCCAGGCGGCAAGGTTACTTCTGGCCTACCCTAGAGGCAGACGCTATGGAGATGGTGAAAAACTGTGACAAGTGTCAAAGGTTTGGCAAGCTCATCCATCGTCCGGCCACTGACCTGACAGCTATCCATAGCCCAGAACCATGTTGGATTATTTAGAGTGTTGTAGTGGAGAGATCGCTCCACTTGTTAGCACGCCTGTGAAAGACAAGCACAGACCGCTCCGAAAGCGCGACAAAATCGCGCTGAGTTTCTGGAAAATCTGTAAAGTTTAGGAGACGGAGGCGCGGGCGCGCCTCCGTATGGCACGTCCGCGCCATGGTTTGGCGCGACCCGCGCCTAAACCGCGATAAAATCGCGCAAGGTTTTTGGAAAACTTGGTGTTTTGGAAGAACGAGGAGGAGCGCCCGTGCGAGCAAGTGGCGCGCTCGCGCGCAGGGGTGGCGCACCCGCGCGGCTATGGTGGCGTGCCCGCGCCTCCTCGCTCGCGCCCGCGCCTCCTCACTCGTCTTCGGTTTTTTGCGGTTATTTCCTTTATATCGTGAAGGGGCCTTTGTTTTTACACAGAACAGAAAATACCTTCCTCTCTGAAATTTTTTCCTCTCTACACCTTTATTGAAGAAACTTGCAATCTCTTCAATAATTCTTCATCTTTAAGTCTGTTGTTTGAGAATTTGATCATCTTTCTACACATCTAAGTGCTTAGTGTGTAGTGTTCGTTTATTGTATCTCAAAGCGTGTTTCTAGTTCAACCCAAGCACCGTTGTGGGGGAAATTAACGCTTTAGGAAAGTGTTCTCACGCCTTAGACGAGTATCAAGAATCGAAGACTCACGTGGTCCATGGTATTCTCATGTGCTTGGTTGTTCTTTTGGCTTGGAGTGAGGCAAGTATAGTCTTTCATACTTATAGTTTAGTTTGATTCTCTGTATTTTGTATTTTCTAAACTTGTTGATGTTTGGTTGGTGTTGTAATTTGTATTAATTTACTTTATAATTTCTGTTTACTCAAATTCTAGGGTTAGAATTTGTTTTAGCACTATCTTTGTTTATAACAATCTAAAGCGTTAATTACACAACATGTCTAGTGTGAAAGAACTTACCACAAACTTTGTCAAACTCAAGAAGTTTGACGGTGTGGAATTTCGACGATGGAAGAAGAAGATGTATTTTCTTCTTACATCGTTGAAGGTTGCCTATGTGATTAGTACTCCTAGGCCATTAGAACATGAGAATGAAACCATGGAGGATGTGCGTGAGAAATCGAAGTGGGATAATGATGACTTTATATGTCGGGGTCACATTCTCAATGGGATGGAGGATGACTTGTTCGATGTGTATCAACATGTCGAGTCTGCTAAGGAGCTATAGGAATTGTTAGAAAGCAAGTATATGGCGGAGGATGCTTCTAGCAAGAAATTCCTAGTAAGTAATTTTAATGACTTTAAGTTTGTTGAAGGTAGATCGATTATGGACCAATTTCATGAGATACAACGTATTTATAGTAACTTGAAACAACATGGTATCAATGTTGATGAATTGTTTGTTGTTTCGAGTATTATTGATAAGCTGCCCAATAGTTGGAAAGATGTTAAGCATGACTTAAAACACAAAAAAGAGGACATATCTTTGTCCAATTTGGCTACCCATCTTCAAATTGAAGAGGGGATAAGGGCCATGGAGAAGGCTAAGGATGGAAATCCTAGCTCTTCCACCATTAATGTGGTGGAGGAAGGCAAATCTAGTGCTTCAACTAGTGGTTAGAGGAAGAAGTTTAATTCCTCTAAGGGCAAGTCCAAGAAACAAAAGGACAACAACAAGAATGCTTGTTGGGAATGCGGTAAGACTGGACACCGCAAGAAGGACTGCTACATTTTCAAGAAAAAAATGGAGAAATCCAAGGATGGTCAAGCTTCTAAGAGCAAGGACCAACCCACCAAAGGTAATTTATTACATGAGGTTGAATTTAATTCCGGTATGGATTTAAATGCAACGGATCCATACATTTTTATGGTGCAGGATGATGACTCTTGGTGGATGGATTCGGGGGCTTCAAGGCATGTATGCAAGGTGAAGCATTGGTTCAAAACCTTTCACAAGGTTGGTGATGGAGAAGAGCTCTTTATGGGAAACAACTCTACCATCATGGTCCAAGGAAGAGGACAGGTTGAGCTGATGTTTAGTTCGGGCAATAGTATCATCCTTAGGGATGTATTATATGCTCCTAGTATTTTTAGAAATCTTGTATCAGGCCCAACCCTGAATAGACTTGGATTTAGACTAGTTTTTGAAGCAGATAGATGTATTATAACTACGGTTAGCACTTTTGTTGGACGTTGTTATTTGTCTCATGGATTGTTTAAACTCTCATTAAGAGAGAAGTCTGTAATGTTGGATGATGTTTGTTTTAATGTTGGTAATGACAATAGTATGAATTTGTTTTCTTTATGGCATTCTAGATTAGGTCATGTGAACTACAATAAGTTGTCTTTTATGTCTAAATTAGAACTTATTCCTCCATGTGATATTGCTCTTGATAAATGTACTACTTGCATGCTTAATAAGATCACAAGAACTCCTTTCAAGAAAGTTGAAAGATGTTCTAAGATCTTAGAATTGGTTCATAGTGATTTGTGTGACTTTTATAGTACACCATCTTTGGGAAATAAAAGATACATAGTTACGTTTATTGATGATTTTTCAAGATTTTGCTATGTGTATCTTTTATATTCCAAAGATGAAGCCTTGGTTAAATTTGATATTTATAAGAAAGAGGTTGAAGTGCAAGTAGAGTCTTTTATTAAGAAATTGAGAACGGATAAGGGAGGAGAGTACTATGATCCTGCTTATTTCCAATCTTTGGGTATTATTCATGAGACTATAGCTGGTTATGCACCACAATCAAATGGTGTAGCTGAAGGAAGAACAGAACTCTTCAAGAAATGGTTAATTCCATGCTATCTTACTCGGGTTTGAGTGAGGGGTTTTGGGGTGAAGCTATGTTGACGGCTTGTCACATACTTAACCGTGTTCCCACTAAGGGAATGGATTCCACTCCATATGAACTTTGGTACAAAAGGAAACCAAACTTGAAGTATCTCAAGGTTTGGGGTTGTAGGGTAGTCGTAAGAGTGCCCGGCAACAAGAAAAGAAAGCTCGGTGAAAGGGGCTTGGAATGCATTTTTATAGTTTATGCTGAGCATAGAAAAACCTATAGGTTATATGTGATAGAACAAAGTGACTATATTTCGAAACATTCGATTATTGAGTCACGTGATACAATTTTTGATGAAAATCGGTTTTCATCAATGAGTAGACTAAAGGATCTACATGTTAGTATCAAAGGAAAGAAAATTGTTGATTATGATGATCAACATGTTTCTCATGAAGGTTCATCTAATAATGAGGATGAGACTCCTCATGTTAGAAGAAGTAAAAGACAAAGGAAAATTAGGAATCCTCTAGATGACTTCATAATTTATTTGGTTGAAGGATCTAGGGATGTCCTTAGTTCCACTATTCCATATTGCTTTAATGTGGATAGTGACCCAAAAACTTATAGCGAGGCCATATCTTCCCAAGATAGTGCATTTTGGAAAGAAGCTATAAATGATGAGATGGATTCCATCATGGGAAATGACACTTGGGTCTTAGAGGATTTACCTCCCGGATGCAAACCTCTTGGTTGCAAGTGGATTTTCACTAGGAAAAGGAGACCGGATGGCTCTGTAGTGAAATTTAAAGCTAAGCCAAATTGGTAATCCAACGCTTTAGGCAAAAGCATGGTGTCGATTATTTTGACACATATGCACCGGTTGCAAGAATAACCTCGATAAGGTTATTAATTGCAATGGCTTTGGTATATAATCTAGTAATCCATCAAATGGATGTCAAAACGGCATTCCTTTATGGAGATCTAGAGGAAGAAGTGTATATGAAACAACCCGAAGGGTTTGTTTTGGAAGGACAGGAAAATAAGGTGTGTAAATTGGTTAAGTCATTGTATGGACTTAAACAAGCAACAAAGCAGTGGCATCGGAAGTTTGATGACACAATTTTGTCTTTTGGATTCAAGGTGAATCAAGATGATAAGTGTATTTATAGCAAATTTGATGACAAAGGTCATGGTGTCATCATTTGTCTATATGTTGATGATATGCTTATTTTTGGTACAAGTCTACAACAAGTAGAATTGACCAAGGAATTCTTATCCTCGTCTTTTCAGATGAAGGATTTGGGGGAGGCGGATGTCATTTTGGGGATCAAGATAATTAGGGACAATGGAAGGCTTATGTTAAGCCAATCTCATTACATAGAGAAAATGATCAAACGGTTTAATATGTTTGATAAGTGTCCCGTGAATACCCCCATGGAACCTAATGTAAAATTGGTTAAGAATTCGGGGAAAACGGTTTCCCAATTGGAGTATTCAAGGATAATTGGATCCTTGATGTATGCCATGACAAGTACAAGACCAGATATTGCATTGGCTGTGGGAAAACTAAGTAGATTTACTAGTAACCCGGGTGCACATCATTGGTTTGCAGTTAGGAGGGTCTTGAGGTACCTTAAAGGTACATTGGACTATGGTTTGTCCTATAGTGGATTTCCTTCGGTTTTAGAAGGATATTCGGACGCCAGTTGGATCACTTACAAAGAGGATGACTCTTCTGTAAGCAGTTGGGTGTTTTTGTTTGGGGGAGGTGCCATTTCATGGTCTTCTAAGAAACAAACATGCATTGCCGATTCCACTATGGCAGCGGAGTTTATAGCTCTTGCCTCAGCTAGTAAGGAAGCTGAGTGGTTGAGAAATCTCATGTTAGAGCTGCCTTTATTGCCTAAGCCAATCTCACCGGTGGCAATTCATTGTGATTTGAATTCGGCTTTAATAAAGGCTTATAGTCAAGTGTATAATGGTAAGTCTCGGCATATTTCACTAAGGCATAGCCTAGTGAAAGAACTTATCAATGATGGGGTCATAAGTCTTGACTATGTTCCCACGAAAATGAATTTGGCGGATTGCTTTACTAAAGCAATGCCAAGACATTCCATCATATTTGCTTTGACTGGAATAGGTTTATGTCCTATAGCACAAAGTTGTGAAACCCAATCTAACGCTTGAAGAAACATCAAGTCTTAGATTTAATGTAGTTGAATTACAACTTTGTTTGTTAGCAATATTTGATGACCCATATTGCTATGTTAATTGTGACGGTAAGGTAGCGTCAATTCAAAGTTCTCAAAGATTTAGAGTTGAGAAGCTCTAAATGAAAGTGTCTAGTCACAAGGACACGTTTACGTATATGAGAACCTACCTATATAAGTTCGAAGTTTAGCCGCTTCAAGAAGTCTAGTTGGACATATAGACTTTGATGAACTTATGAGAGATACGGACACATGGCTGTATAAAAGTGTCAAGTGACGTTAAATTCGAGTTATCTTGTGTGTATTTCATCTTCGAATGATTAGAGATATCCGTGTGATTCAATCCATATGGAAATCATGGGATATGATCATCGTTAAGTGTGTTATACTGAGTGTCAATTCAATCCGTAGGGACATTGACATTGATGCATGAGATGAAGCTTATTTGATGGAAGTAAAGAAAGGATTTAAATGAACACTCTAAATGGGGGAGGATTGTTGGATTATTTAGAGTGTTGTAGTGGAGAGATCGCTCCACTTGTTAGCGCGCCTGTGAAAGACAAGCGCGGATCGCTCCAAAAGCGCGACAAAATCGCGCTGAGTTTCTAGAAAATCTGTAAAGTTTAGGAGGCGCGCTCGCGCCTCCGGATGGCGTGCCCGCGCATTCGGATGGCGCGCCCGCGCCTCCGGATGGCGCGCCCGCGCCTCCGGATGGCGCGCCCGCGCCATGGTTTGGCTTGAGCATTCTGACTCCTTGGGATCAGTTCAATCTCAAAAGTTCTCAGCTTCGCAATGACTGATTTGATCTTTGTGAGGTAAGCTATCATTCAAGGCTCTTTGGCCTCGTATTCACCTCGGATCTGATTTACAACAAGCTGAGAGTCTATTTTCAAACAGACATGTTCAGCCTCCAATGTTATGCACAATTCTAAGCCAGCAATTGCTGCTTCGTATTCGGCCTCGTTGTTTGAAGCTTTGAATGAAAATTTTAGTGCATACTCAAAGGATTTTCCTTCGGGCAAGGTTATGACTACCCCTGCCCCGAACCATTTATGGTGGAGGATCCATCCGTGAAAACAGTCCAGATTTTCTTTTCCTCGTCAAGTGTCTCTTGATAAGAACACTCGGCCAGGAAATCTTCTAAGGCCTGGGCCTTGATAGCTGTTCTCGGCTGGTATCTGATACTGAACTTGGTGAGCTCGAAAGCCCACTTTGCTAGTCTACCAGATTTTTCTACTTTGCCGAGGACTTTTTCTAGCGACTGATCCGTTAATACTATTATTAAATGGAAATCAAAATAGGGCCTCAACTTCCGAGCGGCTACCACTACTGCATATGCAACTTTTTCGAGTAGGGGATAGCGTGTCTCGGCATCTGTCAAAGTGTGGCTGATGAAATAGATCGGCTGCTGAACCTTTTCTTCCTCCCTTAGCAACATCGCGCTTATAGTGGTTGGACTAACTGCCACGTATAAGTATAAGGTTTCTCCTTCGGCTGGCCTTGCCAGAGTTGGGAGTTGAGCTAGATTCTCACGGAGTTGCTTGAAGGCTGTTCTTTGTTCATCTTCCCAGATGAGCTCCTTAGACTTTGGGAGATTTAGCGCTTTGAAGAAAGGAAACCCTTTGTCCGAGGCTTTAGAGATGAACCTGGACAGGGCAGCCATTCTGCCAGTGAGACGCTGAACATCCCTCTTTGTTTTCGGCTCAGGAAGATCAAGGGTTGCTTTTACTTTGGCGGGATTGGCATCAATCCCCCTTTTACTGACCATGAAGCCGAGGAACTTGCCTGACTTCACGCCGAAGACACACTTCTTCGGATTCAGCTTTATTTGATGTTTGCGAAGAGTGGCGAAGGTTTCGGCCAGGTCCACAACATGGTCTTTCTCTTCTTTGCTTTTGACGATAGAATCATCAACATAGACTTCCATGTTACGGCCTTTTTGCTTAGCGAAGACCTGATCAACCAGCCTTTGATATGTTGCCTCCGCATTTTTCAATCCGAAGGGCATCATTTTGTAATTGTACACCCCGGTGCTTGTAACAAATGCCGTTTTTGCTCAGTCATCGGGGTGCATGAAGATCTGATGGTACCCAGAAAATGCATCCATGAAACTAAGCAAGGCATGACCACTTGTCGAGTCGACTAGCTGATCGATCTTCGGCAAGGGATAGAAGTCCTTCGGACAAGCCCTATTTAGGTCCGTGAAGTCAACGCACATTCTCCAGGTGTCATTTGCCTCCTGAACTATCACCACATTAGCCAACCATTCTGGATATTGACAAGGTTCAATGAAACATGCATCCAGAAGCTGTTTGACTTCAACAGCGATGTCTTGGTTCGTTTGAGCGGAGTAGTTCCGCTTCTTTTGCTTAATGGATCGAGATGTGGGATCGACATTAAGCTTATGCGAGATGAGGTTCAGGTCAATCCCAGGCATGTCTGTTGTCGAGAAAGCGAACACATCTTTGTTGTCCCGAATGAGTTGGATTAGTTCAACACGGAAGCTCGGATCTAGTCCAAGTCCGATGCTGACACTTCTTTCAGTATATCCTTCGGCCAATGGTATTGATTCTGTCTGATTGTCTAGCTCCATAGCTTTGGCACTGGACTCTTCGGATTCAGGCCTGCAGTCAATATCAACAGGCTTCCTAGACTTTGGCTGATCTTCTGAGTCCTTTAGCTCAGAAGAGGAACCAGCCTTTTCTTTCCCCAAAGATGTTTTCTTTGCTGGGGTTCCTTGGGCCGAAGCACTTAAGCCTTTAGGCCTTTTTGTACCTCGGTCCTTTTCTTTTTCCTCCTCATCATCCTTGTCGTCGCGGCGACTTTTGGATGGTTTGAGGTGGTTGCATCTTTGGGCCTCCTTTTGGCTAGCCTGAATTTTTTCGGAGTGTCCCTCGTCCGAAACATATATCATCGTTTGATGGTACATCGAGACAACTCCTTGAATATCGTGAATGAGGGGTCTCCCCATAATCACGTTGTACACAGATGGAACATCCACGACCATGAATTCAGCCATAATGTTCCGTTGTGCTAGGCCTCGGCCTATGGTGACAGGAAGAAGAATCTTCCCATCTGGATATGATGAAGAGTCGTTGAATCCAGATACCATGAAGGGTACTGGAGTTAGGTGCTTGCTCTCCAACTTCGGCTGGTCGAATGCTCCTCGGAAGAGGATACTCGCGTCACTACCACCGTCGACGAGGGTTCGCCAAACGTTATGGTTTGCAATGCCCCTTACGATCACTAATGGGTCATCATGAGGGTACACCACCCCCCGGCAGTCTTCGGCTGTGAACAGAATGTTCGGCACCGGATACTGAGGTGCTCGGAACTTAACATGATTTACTTGATGGGTAAAGCCTCACAAGTGGGGTTTCTGTGCGATCCGAGAGGTTCCTCCGGTAATGGCAAGAATGTCAAGGTTTTCCTTGTCACTTGGCTTGTCTTTTTTCCGGAGAAAGTCCAGATCTTGTCGAGAATCTTTCTCGGCTTTCTTCCCCTCGCGGCGATCCGCGAGAAATTTTTTATAGATAGCCCTTTCGAACCAGATCTTCAATCTGGTCCTTCAGCTGAAGACATTCCTCGGTGCGATGTCCAGATGGTTCGTGGAACTCGCACCATCGGTCTTTGCCTTTGTGCTGATGCCATGGTGGAAGTGGCCTAGGCTTCTTGAATCTCCCTTCATTTTTGGTCGTGCTATAGATTTTAGCACGAGGAAGAGTAAAAGGAGTGTAAGAACGTATCTCCCCGTGTAAGGGAGGATCTTTTCTTTCTTCGGCTCAGCAGCCGAGGACGTATCTGAGGCTTTCGCCTTCCCTTTCCTCGATGCCTGGCCTTCGGACAGTTGTCCTTTGGCTTTCCCAGCCCCGGATTAGGACTAGGATTTTGTTTTGTTCCATTCTTTGGCTCGGATTAACTTATCCGAGGCATCCAATGCTTCCTCTAAGGTCTGCTGGGGATGCATGACCATGAAGTCGAGGAACTTTCGAGCTTGCAAGCCATTCCGTAGTGCAAATACGGCAAGGCCCTGGTCCAGACTTGTAATTGTGGATGACTCGTTGCTGAAGCGAGTCCAATAGTCTCGGAGGCTTTCATCCTCCGCTTGTTGTAGACTCATCAGTTTTGCAGTTGTTTTCTCTCGGCGGTTTATCGTAGAAAACTTGCTCTTAAACTTGTTGGAAAGGTCTTTCCAATCAGTTATGGAGCCTTCTTTTACTCCCTTGGTGATCAACGCTTGTGCAACACCTTTGAGAGTAGTTGGAAAATATTTACACCACGTAGCCTCAGATCTGGGGTTAAGATAAATGTGCCCCTCGTAAGAGGCAATGTGATCCTTCGGGTCTGAGGTACCATCGTAAGTGATGTGCGGCGGTATTTTTACCGTCGGCACATGCTCTTCCAATATCCAACTTTGGAAGGGCGAGCATGTAGGGACCATCACGACTTTCCCTTTTTGCTTAGCCGAAGGGACCTCGCTTCTCTCTCTTAGAGAGGTGGAAGTGGTTTTCGTCCCTGGCCGAGAAAATTCGGGGTAGGGCCTGGTTCCCTCTGGCTAAATGAGACGGCTACGCACGTCTACCTCCCTTGAGCCTAAGCGTTCATGGACGCTTTGGCGAGCAGGCTCTTGCCACGTAGAGGTGGTATTGTTGCTCCGAAAGCTTATAGAGTCCCGGGTCTCGGAATGGTGAAAGAACTGAGGGTTCTTTTTCCTTTCTCGCTCGGTCCTCCAAGTGTCTTCTTGCCACTTTTCCCCGAGCTCCTTGTAGGATGGAACTTGTCCATCCTCCTCTTAACCGATTCTCCTTCTTAGGTGTCTCGGCTGTAGAGGTGAAGACTCATGGGGTGTTAACGGGAGTTGTCCTCCTTGGGCTTTGAGGAACTCCATGCAGACCGCTACGACCTTTGCCACTTCCTCCGTAGAGGGCCCCGATTGAGGGGTTTCTTTCGGCTGAGACCGAGAGTGTAGGCTTTGAGGTGAAGGAATCTTCGCATTAGAGCGACTGAGCCTAGACGGGCTTGTCGGCTGGCGAGTATGATGGGATGGAGAGTCCCCCGAAGCTTCCCTTTCCGGAGAAAGAGGAGCTTTTGAAGAAGAAGAAGCTGGTTCCGGTGAAGGTGAAATCGGTTGATGTTCCCTCATCGTAATCAGGTCTCTGTCCCTCCTTGAAGAGGTTGGACCATTCTTCTTCTTAGCACTCTTGGTGCTTTTGCCGCTCTTTTCATGTTTTTACTAAGATTGGCAGATCTTTGGCTTAGTTTTTTGTATATCCTCCCCACAGACGGCGCCAAATTGTTTCAGTATGAAAATAATTGGACCTTCGACAGATCTTTTTCAAGGGAGAAGACTGATCTCGGTCCAAGTGGTGACTGGGCCGAGGATTTCCTGCACAGCGAACACACGTAAACTAGCCTCAGGGGTGGTTGCCGAGAAAGGCCCCTCCGATGCTAAGGTCAGTTCAGTGAGAGTAAATGTTATGCAAGAGAATTAATTGCTTGAGGCTGATTGTAGATGAATGTAAGATGAGACAATTGATGGCTTTTATACTTATACTCAAATGAGGAGGACTGGGCCCTTGAAGTCAGATGGGCTTGCCATGCTGATTGGGCTTGATTGACTTAGTATGCTTGTGGAGAGTTGAACCTTGCATTGGGCTTTTGTAATTAAATCATTTGGATCGGCCTAATTATGGATAACTAAATTGGACCCAAACAGTAATGATAGTTAATTGAAGTGGAGTTAATTGAAATTAAATGACTTATGTAGTTTTTTTTTTTTAATTTGAATTATTTAATTTCTATCTTTAAATTTCTTATGCGTTACGTACGTATATATAAAAAAAAGTTACAAAAAATATAGAGCATTTTGAAGGAAAATTTCTCACAAGATTATGTCAAGTGTCCAATCCGAATAATCTGATAATTACTTTAATATATACTCATAGTATAGAACTATAGATAGAGTTCCAATTTGGCATTTTTTGTCTTTGTTTACGTCCATGCTACGGTAAGAGCGTCCATCCCTAGGCGCCGGAGCCACTGCACGGCCACCTCTTTCAGACGCCGTTACGTACACCGTGAATTTTAACGGTGACTTACCTCGTTTTCCGTCGACGACGACGTACCTCCGGCGTCCCCCGCATCTCCGGCCTGCCCTCCGGTCTCCCCCGACGAGCCAGTACGGCTCCACATTGTTTAAATCGAGATTTGTTCAATTTTAGAAAATGGGCATAATTGTCATACCAAGTCATATTTGTGGGCTTTATATGGTAATTTGCGGGCGATGTTTAACAAATCCCTTGTTTTTTTCCCCGCTCAAAACCCACACAACCCCAACACTCTGCTCGCTCGCTCGCGTTGCCGTCGTCTTCTTCTGCGCCGCAACTGCCACTAGCATCACACTCTCTCAGGTCTACACTATTCTCTTTCATTTCAATTTCTTCTCATTTCAATTTCATCTCTTAATAGCATACTCAAACTCAACAATGGCAGCTAATCTTCCTTTCAAAAGGGTAGTTTCCTTTCTCCAAAAACGCTTCTTTAATGCACACCCATTTCCCCAAAACCCTAAATTCCGTAAAAGGAAGATTAAATCTGAGATTTCTAAATCAATCCTACCTAATTTATCATCTTTCCCAATTCAATACTTAACAAATTCATGTGGACTTTCGTTGGATTCTGCAATTAAAGCCTCGAATAGGGTTGTATTAGAAGAGAAGAAAAAGAAACGATTTGATTCTGTTGTTTTGTTTTTGAAATCCCATAATTTTTCTAATGCTCATATTATTAGACTTATTGAGAAACACCCAGCTGTTCTTAATTGTAGGATTACAAGTAATCTTGAACCTAAGCTTAGATTTCTAGTAGAAAATGGGATTAAGGGTTTGTATCTTCCTAGGCTTGTGGTTGCTTCTCCGGCGATTTTGTTTCGGAGTTTAAAGGCGCAATTGAAGCCTGCAATGGGTATAATTAATAGATATGTGAGCTGCCCTGATAAGCTTTTAGTTACAGTTCATAGTGGGTCTTGGTTACTTCTGATTGGAAAAGACTGCAAGAGAATCTGGATTGTTTGATTGAACAAGGGGTGCCCGAGAGACGAATCGAGGAGTTGCTTGTTTTGCAGCCTAGGTGTTTGTACCAAGATATTTCAAGGATCAAATATGCAGTGAAAATGATAAGATGTATGGGGGTAAAGCCTACTGATGTTAAGTATATACACAACCTTCGTGTCATAATGTCACATAGTAAGTTGAGCTGGAAGAGGAAGGTTTCGGTCTTTGAGAGTTTAGGGTGGTCTACTGAGGAGGTTATATCGACTTTTACTAGGACTCCGCATTGTTTGTCTTGCTCTGAGAAGAAACTTAGGAATGCTATGGATTATTTTGTTAATACAGTAAAGGTTGATAGGGAGACTATTATTGGTTATCCTAAAGTTTTGACGTATTCAATTGAGAAAAGGGTTGTTCCAAGGTTCACTGTTTGGAAGATTTTGATAGAGAGGAAATTAACTAAGTGTACACGGTTCATTTGGATGCTTAATATATCAGAAAAGGAGTTTATTGATCTGTATGTTACCAAGTACTCTACTGAGATACCTTATCTACTGCAAATCTATATGCAGTCCAAGGGGGGCTCTATCCGGGCTGTATGAAGTTGAAGAAGATTGATTATGACGATAAATTGTAAGTTGTTCTTTAGTCAAGTATATAGTGGTGATTTCAGTTGATACTATTATTTACTTAGCAGGGGTTTTAGGAATTAATCTTGTTTGATTAACATTTTGTAGCATGATGAATTCTCATTGTTGTTAATCATTGTTATATTTTGGTTCCAGCGTTTTTTTAGTTGAATCTAGTTTGTTTAGAGAATGCTCAAAATATGCAACAATTATGCAATGATGTGCCTTTAGTCCAGAGTTTTTGCCCATTATATTGTTCTCCTTCCCATATTATCTTGTATAGATGTTCTCCTGATATTACAAAGTGACCATGTTCTGACGAAAACAAGTGATTGTAAATTTGTAACCATTGCTAAATCATTCTAAGTCTCAAAGGAAAGGGGCGGAGTGGTGGAATGGAAACTTCTTTTTCTATTAGAGGAGTGAAAATAAACTTGACTTTAAGTTAATCAAATTATATTGTACACCAGAGTTCTTTCTTCTTGTTGACAACCTAGGATTTTTTATGTGGAAAACATGATAGCTTGTAGATATGAAGATATTCTGTTTCAGTATGTTTGAATTATATTTGTTCCCGATTGACTAAGTGTTCTTTTTAAAGTTACAAGTTTAGAGGCGCACACAATGCATGCACGATTAACTTTTTTATTTGCTCAAATAATTGGACAACTTTTTTCTCATAAACTTGTCTATGTATATATTATAAATTTTCCTCTTTAATATTTATGACTGTAAATAAAGAAATTTAGTAAAATACAGTACTAATTGATCATAAAAAAAAAAAATATTATCACGTTATATGGAGTACTAGATTACACTGACATTGAAATTGGTTACCCCTTCTCTATGTCCCATATTGTCATTTTTCACACTGCCTAATCTTTATAGCAATATAGTCCGTAATAATTAAAGATGCACTTTAAATCTTTAATTTGCTCAAAATTTTGATTAATATAGGTTGTGAAAGTATATAACATCAATTACATGATAGAAAAGGTGGGAGCAACTCACAATTTATTTACAATAGTAAAATAACTCTAAAAGATTTTCTAGTGAAATTTGATAAAATGTAGACTAATGACAATAACAACCATCCCAAATTTAATTCAACCCAAATATAATTCAATAAAAAATAACTTTTATATATATTACTCCTTGTTAAAATTCAATCAAAACCAAGAGTGTAGACTAATGACAACCATCCCAAATATAATTCAATAAAAAAAAAATTTATATATTACTCCTTGTTAAAATTCAATCAAAACCAAAAAATTACATTATAAGGACCAAAAATAGAGAGAAAATAAAAGAAAATGTCAACATGCGTGGAACTATATTGGGACATAAGAAGATGAATTATATGGAAACATATATATTACCCGCCTCCAATTCAAAAAAAAAACCACAATTTGACATTAACTATATACGGAGTACATAATGAAACAAAGCAATTTAGGAAGCTTGGGAGCAATCAAATTAGGAAAAAGGGTGGTACTTGGGAGCAATCACTAATATAAAGCAACAAAATTATAATTTTCAAGCAAAAACTTCTCTTGTACATTAAAACAAAAAATTATGTAAATACCTTGTAATCTTCTTATAGATTCTTTGGTAATCTTCTTGTCTTGTAAATAATGCATAATATAATCAATCAATCAATAACTATATACTAAAAGACTTACCAGTAATGACATGTGTCATAACCTGGTGTGTCCTTAGTAGTTTTTTTTTTTTCTATGGAAAAAAATTCAATTATAGTATAAAACCTTATACAAAAATAATTTTTTATAATTGTTAGTAACAAAGATATACTTTAAATAAAAAAGATTTGATATACCTTTCCGCACAAACATTTATGACTATTGTTTCGGGGTTTTCTGATGTCCTGCGGGAGAGTTACAATTCCGGGACTGGTATCCTTGCGCCTGTACCTGCAAAACAACGGAGACTCCTTGTGGTGGGAGCTCCGCCTCCGACGGTCAAGTTAGTACTTATTTGAGGAGTAAATAAGTGCGGAAAAGTAAAGGGCGAGAGATCTGGTTCCTCAAGGGTAGGAGTGATCAGTGTGTTTTGGCTTCTCTAGTTAGGTGAGAGTAATTAATTGCTGAATCCCCTTTAATGAGGATTAATTAATGTATTTATAGTCTTGGGAAGCGTGCCCAATCCTAGGTTTAGGTCAACCTAGGGCCGATTGGGCTTCTCTTGGGAAGTGGGCCTAGGTGGCCTCCCTCCAAGTTGGTAATCAATAGGCCACATGGCGTAGCATGACTGGTCCATGGTGGACAAATGGTTGTGTGCCACGTGGCAGGCCCTGAGAGGTCCAAATGGAGGACACTTGGCAGGACCTGATTGGTCCACGTGGCGTACACTGATTAGGCGGGGAAAACCCTCTAATCATTTGCCCCTCACAGGTGGCACGCGACTGGTCGCAGGTGGCAGCCTGTAACAGGCGACGGACTGCTACAGGTGTCGTCTTGTGATTGGTCGAGAGCTTTTTCCCGCTCATTTTTTAAATTCAGAAGTGACCCTTCGTATTCTCATTTTACCCTATATAAGGGTATGTTGACCAAGTCTTTTGTTCACATTTTGCGAACTTTGTAAGAGAACTCTCGGACCCCTGAACTTGAGCTCTGATTTTCTGGACGACTGATTTTACCAACCGCCTGCTTTTATTAGACGCCTGTTTGATCAAGCTCCCTTTCAGAACTTAAGTTTCAGGTAACCGTTTGTTTCTTTATCCTTTTCTGCTTTTCTTTTGCATTTTTTCTTTCTTTTTGAAAATGAGGCCTCAAAAGGATCCGGCACGGCCTAGGTTAGCAATCAGCCGGTCACCGGGGACGACTGAGTCTAGGACTGGGGGTGCCTACTGCCGTGCGTTACTTCAAACTTTGCGCAAGTTCCGGAATCCAACTGTCTTTGTATCTATGCAGGACAGTATGGCAAGAACAAAAAGAACAAAGAGGATTGAAAGCTTTGATGGCTCTTCATTCCGGGTTCAAATTAGTGAGCTATAGGACCAGACGCCTGACACCGTAAGGACCCGAGGTGGCTCTGCTGCCGAGAGCTCTGAGGAGGGGGCCAAGGTGGCCCCTTCCCATTTTACAGTTGACTTAGCTGGTCAGCAATCGGCTCCTTCTGAAGAAGAGGGGTCGGGGCCCCCTCAGGGAGAGGGGAGTCGGACTCCTCTGATAGTGAGTCCGAAGTCAGTTCTTCAAGTCGCCTTTCTCCAGGCTCAGAAGAAAGGCATTCTCGCCTATATGAGGCGAGACTTACTCATTCAGTCGAAAAAGGGGTCGACTGGTCAGAGCCATCTTCCTCCCATAGGGAGTTAAACACCCCCTATTACTGTCACGTCCCAAAAGGACGGATCAAGGCTATGAAGGAGCGAATAGAAACTTTTCTCTCGGACCATGTGATGGGTCCGAATTTTGAGTTATTTGTGCCGGATGCCAAAGATGCAGTCGTCTGGCCCGCGAGGTCTAGTTTTGGGGACGCCTGCTTTGGCTGCTACGAGGCGGCCATTAAGGCCGACCTTCAATTTCCCCTGCATCCGGCAGTTCAACAAATCCTCGATGTGTACGAGGTGGGGCTATGGCAGTTAACTCCCAATTCTTGGTTCAACATACTTGGCTACGTAGCCGGGTGTGAGATGCATGGGGTAAAGCCGAATTTTGAGGCGTTCACCCATATGAATTACTTAAGCCGAACCCCCAAAGCAAGCGATACCGGCTGGTACCGAATAGCAAGCCACAAAGGCTATTTGATGACTAGGGAGAAAGAAAATAAGTGGAAAGATTGGAGAAATACTTTCCTCCTAGTCTCCAGTCTTGATAAGCTCCTGAACAAGCGGTACAATAGGTGAAATAGGGATCCGCCTCTTCTTGCAGGCGGCCCTAGCATACCGCCTGTTCCTCGTCGGGCAAGGGAAGAGATCCTTGATCGAGGACTCTTCAAAGTAGAGATTAGGGCCAACTCTACTACTGGGGTACAGGAGCAAGTGCCTTTGAATTGCGTCCCTAAATTTCAATGGTTGTATGATGAGTATTTTTTGGCCGCCTGCGGCCTGAGCAGTCGGACCTCCAGAGGTAGCCGGCCTCTTATGCTTGTATATGCATCATTTGATTTATTTGTACAAGTTTAACTAACTCTTTGTTGCCTATTTTCAGTCGAGGCTATGGACCAAATCTCTGCATCAAAGAAGGTGGTCGCCCTTCTTCGAACCTCCATAATGAGCCTCAAGCAGACCTCCTCTGATTCTCCCGCCAAGGAGACGCCCATAGTGAGTTTCTGATCTTTCGAATTTCTCTTTGAACTCCTCTTTTTGCCAGTACTGACTTTTCTGTGCTTTTGCAGGCGGGCTCATCCAAACCCTCTTCCTCCCAGCAACCGGACTCAAAGGTTCGGAAACAAATAGCTGGGAGTACGCCTGGCTTTGCCAGAAAACAGTCGGCTGACAAACAGCCGCACACCCCACAAAGTGGGGGTAAACAAACACAAGTCCCTAGGGACAGCCGGCCTCCAAGAGGTATAACCGGCTCCTTCGGCCCTTGTTAAATTTTTCTTCCTTTGATATTCTCTCTCTGGTTCTAACAATTTTTCTTTGAATTCAGGCGGCCCTCAAGAACCAGACTTGGTCCAAATGGCCAAGTCTATGGTTAAAGCCATCCCTCTAGAGGAGAGGGATGCGGTCAAGGGAGTCGGCACCCTTGACTTAGACGGAATCATGGGTCTCCTCTCTGAGGTATACTTAGCATTTTTTGTTAAATGTTGAATGACTTTGCCTGCTGCCTGTTTTTGCAAATCTGACGTCTGGTGCTCCTTTTTCAGATCATGCTCCGTGTGCACGGCCTCCGTAGGCCGATCAGCGCCAAAAACAAAGAGGTAAAAGCTGCCAAAGCCATGGCCGCCTCTGACTTTGACAAGGCAATGTTTCAAATTGCCCAAAATGAAATTTTGACAACTGATATTCTTTATTATCAGGCTCAGGCCACTTTGGAGATCAAAGACAAGTTGGAGGCGACCAACAAAAAGAACTAGGAGCTAGAGCAGACGGTCAAGAGCCTCAAAGATGAGCTGCGACCACTTAAACATATTGCCCACCATGCCGAGAGCCTTCAAAAGTCTTTGGATGCTGTCAAGGATCGCTAGGTGAAGCAGGAGGCGGCCATCACCAAAGATCTTAATGCGAAGACCGAGACTGAGAAGCTGGCTCTAGCCCAGAGCATGATGGAGGACTCGGCCAACATCATGAAGATGACCTGGTCGTCCCTCTTCCCAAAAGCTTGTTATGCTGCATGGGACAAGAAATTCAACGCTTGTACTGAAGAGTACAACAGAAGAATCATGCAGCAGGCGGCTGAGGAGGACGAGAAGAAAGAGGAAGGGGCCGACTCCAGCTCCGAGGAGGAAGAAGAGGTGGTGGCCCTACAGCCAATTCAGGAGGATGCGCCTAAAGCTCCTGCCCCTGAAGACGAGTCAACAAAAGAGGATGCTTTGAAGAATCAAGCGCCCGTCGTTGAACTCGATCAGCCGGCAGTTGAGACTCAAGCCTCTCCCAATGTTTAAAGCTTTTATTATTCAAACTTTTCTCCGGCCTGCATGCCGTTTGTTCTTGTATCCACTTTACCCGGCCAGTTGTCGGGGTTTATGAATATTTTGCCGGTCTTTATGGCCGGCTATTAACACTAATTTGGGCGGCGATTCGGTCGCCTTTGATCACAAAATCTTGTTTATGCTTTATTTTTGCCAAGTATAGAGGGTCCTTGACATGTGCTTGAATGCTATACCGACTATTTCGGCTTTGTACATTTTTTAGAATTTGCTTAAAATTTTGCAAGCAAAGTACCGACTGCCTATGCCCCTGGACGACTTGTTGTCTTGGCTCCAGATTGGCGACCAGTCGGCCATGTATCTTTGTACGTTAGGTCTGCTTAACTTTTTCAAGTTAGAAGGAACAGGCCGCTTGTAGTCGGGCCGCCTGTTCGTTTAAGTAGAAATAGAGTCCTTTCTTGCCTTTAGCCAGGCGGACTCATCGTTGCCTTTTGGATCCACACCAAGTATGTGGGAGTGACTATGAGTAATCTTTGAGATTACCCAGTCGTCACCTCTCTTGCTTGAGTAGTAGAGGTACCAGGCGGCGGAGGCCGGCTGATCCCCTTGATTCGCCAATTTTTGTTGGCTATTAACTCAAGAGATACCCCCTGTACTTATCCCAAGTGATACAGGCGGTTATCCGACTCGGATGTCAACTGCTAACACTTGTTTGGTTAGTGTTTAGAGTTATCCTTGTCTCGAAACGGCTACGTGGTTTGTCCTTGGGGACAGTCGTTTAGGTGTCGTGTACTTAGTTTGTAGATGATAACACGATATTATACACGATTTAGATGCGGTATTTGGTCATGTTTTATTGTGTTTTCTTCATTCTCCTTATCGTTTTGAGTTATTATTCTTCCTATTTCGATATTGCTCTTCTCGGTTTGTTTGTTTTTTTTGTTTTTGTAGGAATAGGGCTCGATTTGCTTGGAAGTTGTTTTGATCGCGAGATATTTCTTCATATAGAGCGTTTCTAGCATCTAAGGAGGTCATAGCAGCCTGCTCCACAGCTTGGTTGTGGCGTGTAACCTTTGGCCACAACCTAGTTGT